AATTCTGGACATTCCCGATTGCCCTTTTTAGCAGTGGCGGATGACGCCATGTTGCATCACATCGACATGAATAAGTAGAAATTAATTGAAATAAATTCATGTAAAGCATCGAAACCAAAGCAATTGTTTAATCAATTTATTTTTTAATCCGTTTTCGAAGGTTGCATGTGTTTCGGTAATCGCAAGCTGAGCTGAAATTATAAATTTCTCCTTTTACATAAGATACTTCTGTCGGTATGAATTCATTTCTGAATCTGTATTTTAGCTTAGGTTAGGAAGGGAGGTACCTCGAGATTTTTGCGTTTGAACAATTTAACAAACGAGATACTCGATCATTTTGCGGTTTTAAATCCTTCAGGAGGTCCTTAATTCCGGAAATGCACTACGTTTATCTATGAATGAATGCTATTCATTACTATGTAGCCTTTCGATAGACAGCCTGGATCCTACAATCATCAGATCGACAACGACTTTGTTTGCAGTGAGATGTAAACCGTTCAGTTTGGCTGCATGAACGCAGTGAAATACTTTTCCCTTTAACTTTTATCTCAAACCATGCATTGCTTTCCTATACATTAAAGTGGAATAATACTTATGGATTCTACATACCACCTTTAAACTGCATAGATACATATCATTGGGATGGTTAGTCAACTTTCTGAGGTTTTCAAACGATGTTGTTGATGTAATAATCACTGCCATCCTTTTTGTTACTTTCTGGTGTTTGCTAATTAATTTCAACAAAAACAGCTTTATCCGTGTGCAACCAGCCCAACAGTAAAATGCATTCAGTGAAACTAGCTACACGACGACCCATTCTTAGGCAAACCCTGTCTAACACAATAAATTTTTGCCAATAGTGTCAATGCTTTTTGCTGTGTGTGCAGCGTATGACACACAACCTTTGCGCAATCATTACAAGTCCTGTCAGACCGCAGCGGAAGAGCAAGCCAGTGTCAAGATTCGCGTCAGTAATGTCAAGAAGAATCTTACCTTACAGTCAAGACAGATTGCGACGAGCAATATCAACGTGAATACACGTGCCGAGGATTTTGACATGCATTAGTTCGATTTAATGCACGGAAAAAAAGCATTAGTGAAAGCGAAAAGTAGTTCAGCTCGATCAGATTCGAAAATGGACCTAGGAAAAATCACATGCACACACACAGTGACGTGTTAATGAAATAGAGAAAAAAAAACAACTGGCTGCGACTGCACCGGTTGCGGGGATTTCATTGCACAGTTTCGATATCCAGGTTTTCGTTCTGCAGTTGCTCGAGATAGAGTAGGATTGGGAAATTCGGCTGTTGTACTTTCAGGAGAACTTGAATGATTATTTCGAAAGTCTGTTAGTGAGTCATTGGAATGGTAATAAAATCACCGATTATTAGTGCTTCCTTCATAGATGTGAAGAAAATACAATTTGCTGGAGGAAGCGAAACGAATCAATCCAGTTTCGAATAACGAACACCCGAAACATCGCTGTGTGGTATATAGTTCTCGCTACAAAAATAATAAGGGCGAGACAACCAGGAGATGCGAAAAACTAGCCTCTATTCTCATGGAACTCACCAGTCTGGTTTTACTTGAAGACAGCCCAAGTCATACGGGAAATCTGCCCCTTTCTTTCAAACTTACCGAGCTAAGGCATCGATGGCCGATCGTTCCTTCTACTGCACGTGCAACATTCATTGTTTAACTGTCTTGGAAGGGGATATTTTCCAGTGATTAATATCCCAGTCAATTTATCGTCATCTTTTATTCGAATTCGGTATTCGTTAGAAAAAAAGGCCATTATTTATTCAGAATTTACAAAACACGGGACCTGATCGAGGTGAATGCACTTTCCTCGGTATTCATTTCACATCAGCTTCTGAACCATAGCCTAGGTTCAAGTGAGAGTTATTTTAACTAATCTGTAATAATGGAGTTATTTAGCAATTGGGAACATGCACAATCGGTTGTTGCAATTATGTGTGTTTGCGTGACGGCCACTGAGACGGTGTGATGGCGTTCGTGGCCGAAGAAAGATGAAATGCTGGAATTAAACGCTTACTTTGTTTATGGGTCAAACATGGGACAGAATCAGCTTCAAGTTTGACTAATGTGCACTTTTTAACCCGGTTGAATGATTTCCAGGGCACCTAATAAATAACCTTGAATGCTTTACTGGTGCGGACATAATTGCTGGGGTCTGCCCGGAACCAACGTGACTGTGTGTGTCTGTACATAGCCCAAACCATGGCTTTCCATACACACACACAGAGGTAGAGAGAGAAATAGAAGACAAGCAATTCTCGGAATTAATCAAGCGAGCCACGTGACACAAGTGTAAGTCCCGGTAGCGTAGAGCTGATACTGTGACATGCACAGGTTTAAACGTTTGTCATAGTTTCCAATCGTCGACCGCACAGCTGCAAATGAAATGGTAGGGAAATGATTACTATTTATCGGTCTACATATTTGTATATTAACTGATGCAAATTTTAGCCCTCGATATTTAGCAAACAAACAATTTAGTATGGGCTCTGATTTAGATTAGGATTCTGAATTGAGAAGATTTGCGAAAGTTTTCATATAGCAAAGATGACAACGGCTCAACCGGTTGCGTTTCTCCGTAGAATTTGCAATAAGGGTGATCACAAACAAACCTTATCAGTCAAAGTTAAGAAGGAAAATCTGTACATCCTACCAACTAGCTCTCTTACCTTACTGCGGCTGGCTCCATGGAAAGATAACCCGACTCCAGACATGATCATGATTAAGATCATGGAGTTCTTTGAGAATTTGGTACGAGAGACGTTCCCAAGCGTCATTTGGCGTTTTTTATTTCGAGGGCGCACCTCTAGCTTTTGCACAACCAGGTGCGGACTGCAAGGCAGCAGGAAGTAATCCCTTGCCTCGGAAGTGAGGGGGGTCAATGACTTTAGTTTTAAAAGGNTTTAAAAGGCCAGTCACATCGGCTTTTTTCATGACACCGTGACTGGGCTTGTGCGGCTTTTAAACAGGAGGCAGATGACTAGCCTGAAACCCACCGCATCCTGGTAGTGCCACCACTGTTTGTTTGCGACTGCTTATTTGTTGCGGTATGCCACAACATATTCGCAGCTAACGTTCTTCGGTGAAGGTATCTCTCTATCCATAACCCGGGGACGCGCCTGGTAGCATTCAACTCTACCTAACCCAAAGGTATCCAGGAGCTAGCTCTATTAGGTAAGCAAAAAATGCCTGTTTTGACGTCTACTTCGCATTTGGCACATCATTATGGACCGATTGCATCGCACTGTGCCACCGCTTCATCGTAAGCGACAACATGTTGTTCTTACAGAGTTCGATTTCCTCTGACTGTACCTGTAATTTGGTTGGATAACTTTCTACCATTTACTACACTTGTAAAATTCCGCAGACGGGCAACAGACCACCTGATCAGTGGTCTGTACTGTTTATATCTACTGTCCCTGCTGCGCACATTAGAAGCCTACTCGTTACACTGTAGACCCCCGAGGCTCGTGTTAACTGAGTAATAGTTACGTCCCTTGTCGCAGCTATTTCATAGAACCGGTCGATGAATGAACCAGACCGATCTTGTTTGTGTTGGACCCGTACAAGAGAGAATACATTGTAAAAACAAATGAGCTTGAAGGATCCGCATGAAAAGAAAGAGGCTCGCATTGTGACCATGTACAGAACCATTCCAGTCTCAATTCCAGCAAATGTATTTTTAGGACTAACTGAAAGAAAATTCACCGATAGTAATTGGTGGTCCATCTCGTAAAACACTCTGGGGGGGGGGAGGGGGGATATTTTTATTCTTACTCAGTGTGAGTATTTCGAATCCCTTCTGAAAAATTTTACTCCAATCTTTCTGTGACTCCTGAAGAAATAATTACCACTTTCCTATCATTGCGATGAATATAAATGGTACACTGCAGCGTTGGGACTAACCAAAATAACTATTAAAAAAATAGACCCTGTCCAGCCAGAAACAGCTGTTCTCTTTACATACTGGGAAAACAAGACGAATTGCCACAGAGAATGTTGCTACTACACAGCAAAGAGTTTCATTGATACTCGTGGTGTACAGTCTCGAAAGATAACCCATCGACAACTGTCCCCCAAATGCTGCTCATGTAAAGCTGTCTTAAAGTCGATCACTGTCTCAACGAAAATAGGGTTAGTCCTGAAACACATATTCTCAACTGCTGAACTTCGTCTTGTTATCTCCAATCGTAGATGGATTTGAAACAAAGTAAACATGGTTGGCAAGTTAGCTCACTCATGCACCGGATACCAGTTCCCTTGGAGTTATGGTGGCTCAAGAACAGCCACAAGAAGCAGTTAATTATCACAACGAATGACCGAGTACATTCAAAATTGGTAGACGACATCTATTACGCACTACCAACTCCATAATCAGGTGATCACAAAGAACTCGCGAACATCTATTACAAAACTCATCATGACAACCTAATATGTAATTGATTCTACTTCCCCTTCCAAACCACGATTGCTCAAGTGTAATGCACAACTTTTGGCAACCAGTAAGGTTTTATTGATCCAACCACATGCTCCCCTTTTTGAGCCACAAATATATTGACACAATCAGTTCAGTTGCTGTGAAGCTGGTCTTTTCTTTCTATTTTTGAAAGACAAAGATTATCTGTACACAAACATTTATCAGCACACAATGCTATGTATTCGCCGGTTTTTCCCACGTCGGCCATCGAAGAAATTAGATGAAACGCTGCTTTCTCGTAACATGCATGTTTTTGATTATCGCTTCCAGTATTCCCAACTGCAAAATGCTTAGGTTCAATTAGAACCAATAATGAGACCTTTACATGCATAATTTTTCCAGTATTCAGTTGATCCGTGTTCCTGATTGAAGCACTGACACTTGGGTCCAAATTTTGTTGTTGTCGTATTAAGAAACGTCAGAATGACTTAGCAATACCATCTGAAAACATAGTGGGGCAAACAACTTATGCCATACCAATTTCTTCGGCAGATCTAACGCACTTTAAATCGTCACTGGTTACAGCTTGCTACGAATGCCGACGTTATCAAATTCGTAAAAAAGGACTTCTGATGCAAAAACACATTGACGCCCTAAAAGACCTACAACACAACCCTGAAATTCTCCGAAGAGAACCTGGAAAAGGGACTGGCATTGTGGTTATGGATAGCGACTATTACGTATCCCAAATGCTACAACTTCCATCCGATCAAACAAAGTTTATGTGCGATGGAATTCAAAAGGATCAAACGGGGAAAGCTGAAAAGCAAATTACGGATAAACTAAAATGGCCTAGAGATCAAGGCTATATATCATCCTGCATGTTGAAGACCTCAAACCCGTTGTCTCTAACGTGCCCCGCCCATATGGTCTAATAAAATACACAAACCTGGTATATCAATGCGTCCCATTATCTCTATGACGAACTCTCCTCAGCACACAACTTCTGGTTGGGCTAGCTGGAATTTTGGAACCCATACCTCAACGTGTCACGAAACACACTTACAGATACTTTCCAATTTGTTGAAATAACCAAAAATTTGAAAATGAACAACCGAATGATGTCCTCTTTGGATGTTGTTTCTCTCGTTACAAATGTTATTCTGTTAGAAACGGTTGATATTAACATAGAAACGATATCCGTGGGTATTTCTGTCTCGACTCTTAAAGATTTCATACTCAAATGCACACGAAATATACAATTTTCGTTTAATAACATATTCTGTCGCCAAGTCCATGGTGTTTCTATGGCTTCACCCCTCTGGCTTGTTCTAGCCGACGTCTTCATGACCAATTTAAATACGAATTCCTTGTCCACTGCTATTAGTTGTTTTGAACAATATCATCGTTATGTAGATGAAATCTTTTGCTTGGCTAACAAGAACAATAATCTTGCCCATGTCGAGTCAGAATTCAACAAAGTGCATTCGTCAATTGAGTTCACAATTAAACCAGAGGAGAATGATTTTCTTCCGTTTTGGTTGTTCATCTGAGTAGACGCCCCGATGGCTCTATCCAAAGAAAGATGTATCGAAAAACAACATGGAGTG